GTTCTAAGTGGTAGAGACAAGATGTAAACACAGACCTATCTGACAGCCTAAAGTTTGAACAGCAAACCCTTGGTAGATACGTTTAAGGCTCACTCTCTCTTTCCTTGGACTTCATGTAACTTCATTATCTTAACCATTTTCAGGGATTGTCTTACTGGTACCTCAAGAAAAGGAGCCACATAGTTGATGGGCTACTGAGGACCACTCAGAAGAGTCTTGAACTCCGACCTGTGCAGTATACCTATGGGGAATCCCAACCCAAATTCACACAAGTCAAGTCAAATAGGAGAACCTTGGGTTTTATCCATAGAAATAGAAGCCTTGTCAGCTTCCAGAAGGTATTAGGGATGGAACAGTGTCACAAAATGTCTATGAGGTGCTCAGTAACATCCAGTTATGCCAATGGAGTTCCAGCTTCACTGGGGACTGTACTTCTGGGCCAGGCATTTATGCGTTGGGAGGTAAAACCATATACTGCTTTATTTCTATTCTGAACGGGATTTCAAGATAAAACACACTAAGGATATAGCTCTGTAATGTTTTAGCAATTGAAAGCCAAGAGCTGCTGGAACTGAAGTTAAGAACTCTTTGAGGACAAATTTAAGTATTATTAGAAAACATATATAAAGCTCTTGCATCGACACCTCAAAAAATAACTTCCATTTATATGGCATCAAGGTGCAATTTATGAACCACTTTCACATACGTTATCTCACCTGGCCCTCACAAACCCCTAAAGGTAGATTGGACAGGTGGTAGTATTATGATTAATAATTCCATCTTACAAATGAAGTATCCAAAGCTCAGAGAGTTTTAGTGTTTGCCTGGGGTCACAAAACTCTTGAATGGCTCTGCCTGGTCTCAAGGTCAGGTCTTTTGTCTTTTTCCTCTGCTCCACACATTCTCTTACAGACCTGGTGATATTTACAAAGGACTGTAAATGTGCACACAAGAGTTAAAGCATCAAAGCAACTAGGAGTTCCCTAAGAAGGGGCACTTTTGGAAAAGGCACAGTGGCTGGGTAAAAAAATAGACAGTCCTCTGGAGAGTTTCCATTTGATTCATTTATCACAGCTAAAGAAATAGATCAGGGGAATCTCTCTCCCAAGCCACTGACAGAATCTTCAGAAGTTTTTCCAAAGGGGGATTCCTCTCTCCCTGCAGCTGGTAGAGGTCTTGTGACAGCTACTACACAGTGTTAGAACCCAGAGGTGCAAGCAACTACCTATTCCTCAGATTTGAATTTACAAACCAAGAAATTCTGCCAGCTGCCAAAGGATAGGAAACATGGAAAGCACATTTCTACAGCCCTCATTCCCCCAAGTGACAGTGCACACTGTCACCAGCAAAATAGAGGGGACAGGTGTACAGCTTTCCATTCTTAAGCAGAATTCTTCGTGCTACACTATAAAGCTCACTATTTTAACGCTGCTAAAGAAAAGGAATTTGAACCCAAATTAACATGTCTGCTATTCATGAAAATTTGACATGTTGTATAAAGTACTGTCATTGTATAGATCATTTGATCATGTAATTACAGAGATGCATATTGGAGCATTAAGGTTTTTATTAATGCCGATTCTGTTAAGTTTAGCAACTTTGACCAAATCATGTCGGAAAATAATATGCAGCTGCTCATTGGGAAAATTATAGTAATTGAGGTACATTCCAAATCCTGAATTTTATCAAAAAATATATTTTGCCACAATCATCTTGCAAAATGTAAAAAGCTAGATTTGGACTCCAGAAGACCTAAATTCAAGTTCTGATTCTGTCACTAATTTGCTACGTGATGCTGACAAGTCACTTTACTGAAGTGTCTGTTTCCTAAAATGAGGTGGTAGTTAGATAATCTGAAACATGGAGCTAGAATAACAAGCAAGGTTCTATCTGTTCCCCTCTGTGGCTCTGGGGTCTGACAAACTGAGTGGCATGTGTTTATCATTCAATAAGTATTTCTTATATGAACTTAAGGTAATTTATTACTGCAGCATTCAATGATTTTATGGTATGCATGTGAAGAAATTTCTGAAGAATATGAAATTGTCATGCTACAAATATGCTCATACACACACACACACACACACACACACACACACACTTAAAATGAGGAGATGCCAAGTGTTTTACATAGCTCCTTTGTTAGAAAAGAAAAGAAAAGTGTTAAAATGACTGCTGTCCTAAATCTATTGGATTAATCTAACTTTCCACTATAGAATCAAATTGAAGGGAGCACAACTTTGTAGAATTTTCAGAAACTATTTTCACTGAGACACTTAATGACAAGAAAAAGCTAAGTCTATGTGTCTCTATTTATATATATTTATCCATGCTAATGAAGAAATAATCCAATGCAACCAATTTAAAAATCAGATACATATTTCCATTTATTTTCTTGGAACATGCTAATGTTATCATTAGACCCAGACCAAAGTGGTGAAGGTTCTTTTTGATGTTATTTTATCTTCTCTCATTGGACTAGCTAAAATTCTTCACTATAGCCCTGAATTACTATTTCCTCAAAATGTCTCATTTTACAACATTTCCCTTTGCACATCTCTTGGAATCCTCCTCTTTTCACTCAGCTTCCCTCTTCCCCCACCACAATGTCTTTTGCTTAGACTAAACTCCTTTACCTAAAGGAATGAGGAAATGATCATTTCCCAGAGGCAGTTATATTTGAAAAGAAACCATTTCCTAAGCAAATATCTAATTGGCCCTATTTCAGGCAATTTAACAATCTCAGTCGGTGGCAGGTGTTCCCCAAGTCCCTTAAAATATATAGGTGATTGTCTAGTTGAGTGTTGCTTCAAACGTTTTGTAATTCTCTCCTTCCTCTTCCTCTCCTTCTTCTCCTCCTTCTCCTTCTCTCCTCCTTCTCCTCCTTCTCCTCCTTCTCCTTCTATTGGGGGTACTGGGGATTGAACCCAGGACCTCATGCATGCTAAATGTGCACTGTATTACCAAGCTGTACACCACCATCCTATCCCCTCCACAAGGGAGATTCTTCAAACTTTCAAAGCTGTGAAATTCCTGCTTCAAACAAAATCAGGCAGCAGTCTAGGGTCTAGAAGAGACAGGGCTAAAGTGCTCTGGCTGAAGCAGGGATGGGGATCCAGAAGCTTCCCCAGTTGCCTGCTTCTCTCCACCAGCACAGCTGCAGAGGCACATGCCTCAGAACACCCCTGGTAGGAGGCCAGCCCCTATTCTCATACAAATGCACACGCAGAAGGTCAGAGACAGGGTGAAAGCAAGCAGATGATTCACCCTGAAGCAGCCTGAAGAAGCTTGTAGATGTCTATTGCAATAAGAAACAACATTCACATTTTAAAAAACCCTTTGAGAAGGTAGCCAAATGAACTGTGAACACAATAAACAATTTAGATTTTGCCTCTTATCTTCTACTTCTATCTCGTGTTTGAAACTTGGCTGTGTTACATGGTTGTGTTGTAAGATAAACATGGTTAATTAGGTATATTCCTGAAATCAACTATTACTCTTACCAGCTCCTTTAATAGAACTGGGTTTCCCCTAATTTGGGTTTTCCCTTTCTCAAACTTTGGATTTAATCCAACCACCTAAACAGTTGCTTTCTCCTCTGAAACAAAAGTTCCTGGAGGGGTTTTCCCAGCAGAAAAGATTCTGAAGATGACCTCCAGAGGGGACCACCCAGACCCACTGTTCACACTTCTCACTCCGCAGGCACCTCCAACGCAACAGTTCGCAAGTCAAACTTCTTTCACCTTCTGCCCAAACCTGTCCATCCTGGTTAATGAGGAATGGTTGGGCCACCTACCCATTTACAAAGCTAAAAACCTCAAAGTTACCATAAAAACATCAACCATTAAATTACTGGGGCTCCAAACTAGGTGTATTATGTCCTACACCACGTTCTGCCTGCCTTTCATGTTCATTCTTCCATCAGCAGTCAGACAGCTATCTGTCTTTGCCAAGCACCAGTGACACAAGTAAAACAGTCCGGCTCCTAAGTGGCTTGCTGACCAGAAGCTGGGGTGCTCCAGCCGCCCTGCCCCACCGGAGTCAGGTACCCACCTTGTCTGTGTAAACCTCTGACATCCCGCCTGCTTCTTCTCAATGAATTCCTTGAATTTTGTTGCTTGCTCTCAAATGTCCCTTTTCTTTGAATTATTCCAAGGGCTAATCCCTAGTTTCTCCGAGCATCCACCAGCCTTACACATTGTCTTGTTCTTTGCCGTATCCCTTGGTGGCATTAACGTTTGTTTGCACTTCTAGAATACAGGTGACGTGAGGCGAGAGCCTTCTTTCACCTCTGTGCAGCCAGCATTATGACAGCAGTGATCAACCCAGCACACAGCAGAGTCATCCGGGACCTTTTAAAAAACACGAATGTCAGGACTCACCCCAGACCTACAAGTACAGAACCTTGCAAATCCATATTTTAAACAGTTCTCACACCATAGTTGAATCATTGCCCAATCTTGCACAGAGCAGGTATTTAAACAGTATTTCTTGAATGTCTGATCAATTACTTAACAAGGCTGTATGGAGAATCACTTCTGCCTTCCTCTCAGCCTGCTTTTTCTTTGGCTGTTTAATTTTTTTTGGGGGGGGGAGGTAATTAGGTTCACTTATTATATATATGTTTTAAATGGAAGTGCTGGGGAATCGAACCCAGGACCTCACTCATGCTAAGTACACACTCTCCATCGAGCTATACTCTCCCCGCCTTTTTTGGCTTTTGATTTCACTTTCCATTTCCTTTAACTTGAAAGCACTTGTCAAAACCAAACAGCAGTCATTCTTGATAAAAGGCAACATTGTGTTTCGATGATTTTAATCGTTGACCTCAACTCTGGCATCTGAAGATTAATACATTGTTCACAGTCTCAGATACCCAGCAGTAACCTCATATTAGGGTGACCTTTTAAACAGCCCGTAGAGTGTCTTTCAGGACTTCAGTCCCCTTGTGGCGACTACTCTCTTGCACGAGGTGTCCGTGTCTGATCGTAGATAACATTATCATCGTTGAAGGTGGTTGGGAGACCTCCAACCTACTCACCTGGAGGCGGCCGAGCCAGCGCCCCTCAGCATCCCGGGGGGCGCGCGGCCGGAGCTGTCACCTGCGTTCAGGTCAGAGGTCGCCAGAGAGCGGCAGGGCCGGGCAAGTCCCGGGGGGCGGGCGCAGTCTGCAGCCGGTAGCGAGAATCGAAACTCAGCTGTTAAAACCGCGGCCCCCGCCCTTCGGAATCGCATCTGGAGACCCGCGAAGCGTCCCAGCCCCGCCCGCTTCGCTCCCGCAGCAGCAGCGGCCCCGGCCCCGCGGGCTCTGAGCCATGTACACCCGCAGTAGGGTGCTGGGCTCCGGGTCCGGGGTCCCTGCCGCCTCCCGCCCGGCGCGGGACCCCTCTGTGCGGAGCAGGGAGCTGGGCCCGCCGGAGGGTCCCAGGCCGGGTTTGGAGGCGACTCCCGAGAGCCCTTCGCTGGAGAGTCCGGAGCGCACGGCCCCGAGGTTGTGAGTATTAAACCACCTGTTCTGCGAGGCGGGAGCCCAGCCCCCGGACGGACTCCTGATCACTGGAGTTTGAAACGCAGGGGCCCAGTCGCAGGGCTTCTGAGAAAACGAAGTCTCATTTGCCTGTACAAAAGCAGCCATGAATTACCTTCTAAACTGAGTGTGCCAGTCGAGGGTCCTTTATTGAACATCCGGGCCCCGTTCCTTTCAAGATGACTTTCCTGATTCTTGTGACTGGCTCCAGGACTGAAAGTCATGGGTGTGTAATAACCGCCTAGACTTCTTAGTAATTTTCCAGGTATCTCCAGAACTCATACTCTTAACTAGTAGGAAAATAATTTTTTCCTTCCTGTTTTGAAAAATTGATGCCCTGAATAGTATCTTCACATCAGCTGCCAGGGTAAGGGTGAAGAGGGAATAGGTTACGGGGTAGAAGGTGCAAATGCTGCCTCTGGGAGCTCACATCCCAACAAAACTCCCGGATAAAGCCAGCCTCTTAGGACCAGAGGACTGAGCTAGAGACGGTGTGAGTGACTGTGGTGTTTCTTGTCGCTGGTGTTGTTAAGTGCTCTACATAGGGACAGCTAGGTAGCACTCATTCTTGGTCTTTGGTTCAGGGGCCACAGTTGCTATCCTGGGAACATTTATTATGTGAAGTGTCAGCGAGCCTTCCTTTCCCACCAATGGAATGAGTTGCTCAAGCAAAATTAAAATTCTGCAGGATGGTTAGTAAAGACATGACTGCTTTTGAAGTGCTGCATCTGTGAACTGGAACTTTCCCAATGGTTTCATTTTCAGTTCCCCTTTTCTTTTCTTTTTTTTGTTTCCTTTTTCAGTTTTATCAGGTAGAATCCTTTCCACTTTTCATTAACTTCCAGTTACGCGAAAGACAAACCCTGGTTTGCTGGTTACTAAGAAATAATATATAACCTTATGACCAATAAACTCATTTTCTTTCATCCTTTAACTTTTGAAAGAATTCATAAGTACCAGGCTTTGAATATTGTTCAGCTTAGGGTTAGCTTTAGATGGGGTGGATGACCCAGATGAGTTCAATTAGAGATTGCTGCATTTCTCTCCTCAGAATGGGAGGTATCTGGCCACATTAATTTCTAGTAATCTACATCTCTAAAAGCTGTAACATTTGATGTAGCAGAGTTCACTCGATCTATAATTTCATGTTGATGATAACACCCTCCACATGCCTTTTTTCTATTACAAAGCATCTTTTTATATATAGTCATTTAATGGCAAGCTCCTATCATCTCTAACATTAGCAGTTGTATCTGTTTTCTTATTTGATTGTAAATTACCCCAGAATCTTGCTGGGCCAAATTACTCAGAAGGGGATGGTTTTCTAATTAATTACCCAGACCTCAGTATCTGAAGACCTCATTGCATTCTTTTTTTGATTTCTAAGATTTGACAGTAGACCATTAGCAAGTTCATGGGAGAGTTCAGTTACATTTCACAGGACTCATTATTTTCTTGTGAACCAGTTGTAATGAGCAGAATATTATAAGGTACATTTCCTTGTAGATATTTAACATGTAAAATCCTGTTTGGACCACTCTGATTTCTTCTTATATCTCCATTAGTTACGTATGTCTACTGTTTATTTTTGCTTGTTTCCTTTAATGGAAGTAGGAAACCAAGGTTGAATGGCAAATAACATCACAGTACAACACTGACAAAAAAGTTATTAATATTTGACTTTTTGGGAGGGAAATTAGAAGCATTTTCTGATTGAAAATTAAGAAAAATTTGGAAGGAAAGAGTTATGTGCTCAACAGTGAAACTTCACTTGTTCACTTTCAATATGAGCTTATTTATATGATCAAGGGTTGAACTTTGACCCTGGTTTGTAGGGAAGCCCAAGTGTGGGCAAAGAAGCATGGGCCTTGATGCCAGGCAGGCTTGAGTTCAAGTTCTGATTTGGCCATTACTTGTTCTCTGAACTTCAGCAAGGGGCTTAGCTATTTTATGCTTCAGTGTCCTCATTACTTAAAATGAGACAATACCAACCTCTCAGGGTCTCTGTGTCTCTGTGTGCGTGGGAGACATGTATGCATAAAACATAACTTCATGCCTGGCAGAAAGCAGATATCCAGTAAATGCTGGGTGCTCATAGCCTTGAATTCGTACAACAAATGTTTATTGACCAAGTACTATGCTGTCACCCTGGAATGTTTGTGCCGTGTAAAAACACACTGATTTAAAACACTGACTTACATACAGATATAAATAAGGAGACTTTAAGGCAACTTGTTAAAATGATTCCTGAGGACCTCTAATTGACTCTAAGGCAAGGCTGAGCTCTTGACTATATTTGGATTTAAGTAATTACAAGTGTTTACTGATAAATATTGGCTTTCCTAATTATTTTCAGTTGGGGATTTTATGTTGTCCTTAAATCTTGTAAGCTAATTATACAGATTTAAAGAGAGGAGAAAGTTCACAGAAACTTCTGATCCCGAGTAATCCTTTACCCTCTCCCCAAAATCTAGATAAATGTCAGACTAAGGCGTGAGTTTTTCTGGAAGGGATTATCCCCTCACTTCACCCAAGTCTGGGCAGTAGGCTCTTGCCTATGATAGTAACACAGGCAGGGCTCACTGTGTTCAGATATTTGTCTGTAACCATACCTGGAGGTGGTCCTTTAGCTTGATGTCTTTTGAAGGAAATAAAAAGATATTCTGAAAAATGAATCCATAATGTGGAATATTACTGTATAGTTAACTTTAACATAATTTATATACAGACTCAGTTTACCTTAACATATTTGTGGTCAACTCTATAGTGAGAACCATAGAGACAAATCTTAGCAATAACAACAGCAAACACTTACATAGTCTTAGTATGTTGAAGTGAATTAAGGTGAATTACATATGCTAACTCTTTCAATCTGCACAACAACCCTATAATAAGAGAGGGTCTTTAGCTCTGGACATTTAATTAAAAATATTGGAACAAATAACTACTCAACAAAAGACAAGCCCTTATGAAGCTTATAATCTAATTGATGGGGGCAGACAGTTATCAGATAATTATATTAATAACTCTTTATATGCACTGGCTTTAAAGGAAAGCCAGGGCTTGAGCTAGTCTGGGGAGCAGGAAAAGTTGTTCCCGAGAGGTGATGTTTGAACTGTGATCTCCAGGATAATCAGGAGTTGTCGTAGTTGTTTTTTCCCTGCCCTGACAAATACATTGTTCCAACAGCAATAATCTGTAATTCAGTTCAATTCTGACACCACCCAGAGTTGATGCAGACCCTGCAAGTTAAGGGCTCAGTCCCACAAGTCTGCCTCCACTTTAGGAGTAAGCCACTGGTGTCGCCCCAGGCCGCCCACAGTTCTGGCTGCCAGTTTGGGGGTTCCCACAACCTCCCCCCATGCCCAGTTCACTAGAATGACTCACAGAACTCATGGAAATCACTATACATGTGGTTACAGTTTTATTTTGAATGATACAATGTTGCAACAGCCAAATGGAAGATTTATTTGGAGGGAGGTGTTCCAGAGAACTTCCTTTCTGGGCGGGTCACCCTCCTTGCACCTTGGTGTGTTCACTTATCTGGAAGCAGCTAAAACCTTGTGTGAGAATTTTTATTTAGGTTTCAGCACTTAGGCACAATTGATGAAATCAATGGCCACTGGTGATTGAATTCACTCTCCAGCCCCTCCCCTCCCCAGAGGTGGGGGCAAGGTGGACAGGAAAGTTCTAAATACGTGGTTGTTTTTATGGCAAACAGCTCCTGTCCTGAAGCTATCCAGGGCCCCCACCAGGAATCATCCTGTTAGCATAAACTGACACTATTTTTACTTGAAATTCCAAGGATTGTAAGGAACTCTGTGCCAGCAACCAGGGACAAAGATTAAATATTTATACTTTATTATACCACCAGAATTTAAGTAGTCTCTGTGGTGGCCAGAGAAGCTTGCTATTTAGATCTTCAAAAGAACTGACAGTGCTATACAGTATGATCTTATTGTTTATGTGTTTTACATGTAGTAGGGAACTATATTCAATGTCTTGTAATAGCCTATATTGAAAAAGAATATGAAAATGAATATATATATAACTGAATTGCTATGCTGCACACCAGAAACTAACACAACATTGTAAATCAACTACATTTTGACTAAAAAATGAAAAATTAAAAAAAATGTTTTTAAATGTGTCGCTGGTGATTAGGTTCTTGTCTCATTGCAGAAAGAATTCAGAGACAGGACACGGAGGTCAAGAAAGTAAAGTGAGGATTTATTAAGCAATAGGTAGTGTATTCTCAAGGGGAGAGCAGGTGGGCTCAGGTGAGCAGCTGCTCTGAGTTTCTTTGGCAGGTTTGTTACATAGGGTGTGAAAATGAATGGGTGGAATAGTCATTGGGGAGGGAAGGGTTTGGGATCATATTACCTGATTTTCATCCCAGCCAGCTCCACCTTCTGAAGGGAAGGAAGGATTTTTGTCCTTATTTAGTTTGGATCAGAAGTGTCATGGCATCAGTGCATGATGGGTATCTCTATTCCGCAAGGCTAGTTTTATTGTAATGGACATAATGAGCAAAAAGTTACATTTGGACATTGGAGATTCCTGCCTTTTCCCACCTTTCTTTGCCTCCAGGACATCTGTCACCCCAAAATAGGTGATCTCTTATCAGTCCCAAGGTTCCTGCTTTTCTCTGTCTGCCCAAGAACTCCTGTTGTTCGTAAGATGTATGATTTCCTGCCATTTGGCCTCTGCCCTCCTTTCTCTGCTAATATCCAGCTATCTGCCTGCTCTAACCAAAGAACTTACTGTGGGGACCATGGTCAACTGACAGTGCTAGCTGCCTCTTTTGGAATCCATTACACCCTTTACTCTGAGATCATACTTATTCTGTACTGTTACCAGCCAGCGTCTAAACATCCCAGGGTACTAATGACAGCCCATTCTTGGCCTATGGAGGACTACTTTGTTGAGCACTATTTGCCAGAAGACTCTCCATTGACCTATCCAAG